CTTAATATATACAAAAATCAAATCAAAATGGAGTAAAGACTTAAATCTACACCCTCAAGCTACAAAACTACTGAAAGAAAACAGTAGGGAAACTCTCCAGGATATTGGTCTTGGCAAAGATTTCTTGAGTAATACCCTACAAGTGCAGGCAACCAAAGCAAAAATGGATAAATGGGATCACATTAAGTTAAAAAGCTTCTCCATAGCAAAGAAAACAATCAACGAAGTGAAGAGACAATCCACAGAATGGGGGAAAAATATTTGCAAACTACCCATCTGACAAGGGATTAATAACCAGAATATAGAAGGAGCTCTATATTCTGTTTTCAACTCTATGGGAAAAAAAACTAATAATCCAATTTTAAAATGGGCAAAACATCTGAATACATGTTTTCAAAAGAAGACATACAAATTGCAAACAGGTATATGAAAAGGTGCACAATATCGTTCATCATCAGAGAAATGCAAATCAAAACTATAATGAGATATCATCTCACTCTGGTTAAAATGGCTTATATAAAAAAGGCAGGCAATAACAAGTGTTGACAGGGATGTGGAGAAAAGAGAACCCTTGTCCACTGTTGGTAGGAATGTAAATTAGTACAATCACTATGGGTTACAGTTTGGAGCCTCCTCAGAAAGCTAACAATTGAGTTAACATACCATCCAGCAATCCCCCACCAGGTACATACCCAAAAGATAAGAAAACAGTATATCAAAGAGATATCTCCACTCCCGTGTTTACTGTAGTACTATTCACAATAATGAAGATTTGGAAGCAACCTAAATGTCCATTAACAGACAAATGAATAAAGAAAATGTGGTACAAATACACAATGGAATACCATTCAGCCACAAAAAAGAATGCAATCCTGTCATTTGCAACAATATGAATGGGCCCAGAGGTCATTATGTAAAGTGGAATAAGCCCAGCACAAGAAAGACAAATTTCACATGTTCTCACTTATTTGTGGGAGCTAAAAATTAAAACAACTGAATTCATGAAGATAGAGAGCAGAAAAGGATGGTTACCAGAGGCTAGGGAGGGTAGTAGAGGGGTCGTGGGGAAGTGGAGATGGTTAAGTGGTATAAAAAAATAGAAAGAATGAATAAGACTTAGTATTTGATAGAACAACAGGGTGACAACTGTCAAAAATAAATTAATTTTACATTTTAAAATAACTAGAAGAGTATAATTGTTCACAAAACAGAGGATGAATGCTTGAGGTGATTAATACCCCATTTACCCTGATTTGATTATTATTCATTGCATAGCTATATCAAAATATCTCATGTAACCTATAAATATATACATTTACTATGTACCCACAAAAATTAAAAACTAAAAATATTTTTAAATAAAAAAATTTTTCAAAAAACCAAAATGGAAACATAACATACCAAAACATACATCATGTAACAAAAGTAGTTCTATGATGAAAATTTAAGGCAATAAACACTTACTTTAAAAAAAATCTCAAATATGCAATCTAACACTATGCCTCAGGAAGTAGAAAAGAACAAACTACTTAGTTTGGGCTAAATTTTTAGCCCAAAGTTAGCAGAAGAAAAGAAATAACAAATATCAGAGCAGATAAAAAGGAAATGGAGACTAGAAATCCAATAGATACGATCAGTGAAACTAAGAAATTGGTTTTCTAAAAGAGTTTTTAAAAATGGTCAAACCTTTAGATAGACTGAGAAAAAGGAGAGAAGATACAAATAAATAATATCAGAAATGAAAGGGGAAGCAACAACAGATACTACAGAACAAAATACAAAAGATCATAAAAGACTACTATGAACACTTATTTCCCAACAAATTGTATAACCTAGAATAAATATATAAATTCCTAGAAACATACAATTAACAGAACTTAATCATGAAAAAATATAAAATCTGAACAGACCAGTAACAAATAAGGAGACTGGATCAGTAATAAAGTCTCTCACTAAAGGAAAGCCCATAACCTGATGGCTTTACTGCTGAATTCTACCAAACATTTAAAGAAGACCTAACACCAATCCTTCTCAAACTCTTCCAAAACAATTGAAGAGAAGGGAAACGTCCAAGCTCATTTCATAATGCCAACATTACTAGATACCAAGGCCAGAAAAGGACACTAAGAAAAAAGAAAATTATATGCCAATATTCCTGATGAGCACAGATGCAAAATCCCTAAACAAAATATTAGCAAACATAATTCAAGGGCACCTTAAAAATATCATTCACCATGATCAAGTGAGACTTATCCCTGGAATGCAAGAATGGTTCACCAATGCACACCAATAAATGTGATAAACTCTAATAACAGAATGAAGGACAAAAACCCTATGATCATCTCAATAGATGTAGAAAAGGCATTCAACAAAATTCAACACTCTTTCATGATTAAAAAAAAAAATTTCAACAAATTAGATATAAAAGGAATATATCTCAATGCAATAAAGGCCATATATGATAAACATAGTTAACATACTCAATAGTAAAAAGTTGAAAGCTCTTTCTCTAAGATCTGAAACAAGACAAGGATGCTCACTCTCACCACTTCTATTCAACATAGTACCAGAAATACTAGCAAGAGCAATTAAGCAAGAAAAATAAATAAAAGACATCTGAATCAGAAAGGAAGATGTTACACTGTATCTGTTAACAGACAACAAGATGTTATATTCTTTAAAAAAATTCTAAAAACCGGCCGGGTGCGGTGGCTCAAGCCTGTAATCCCAGCACTTTGGGAGGCCGAGACGGATGGATCATGAGGTCAGGAGATCGAGACCATCTTGGCTAACACAGTGAAACCCCGTCTCCACTAAAAAATACAAAAAACTAGCCGGGCGAGGTGGCGGGCGCCTGTAGTCCCAGCTACTCGGGAGGCTGAGGCAGGAGAATGGCGCAAACCCGGGAGGCGGAGCTTGCAGTGAGCTGAGATCCGGCCACTGCACTCCAGCCCGGGCGACAGCGCGAGACTCCGTCTCAAAAAAAAAAAAAAAAAATTCTAAAAACCACCAAAAAACTGTTACTAATAAATTTAGTGAAGTTGCAGGGTACAAAAATCAAGACACAAAAAATCAGTAGTGTTTCTATACACTGATAAACTATCCAATAAAAGAATAAAAAAATCAATTCCATTTACTATAGCTACAAAATAATATTAATACAATATTTAGGAATAAATTTCACCAAGGAGGTGAAAAATCCATACACTGAAGACCATAAAACACTGACAAAAGAAACTGCAGTGTACACAACTAAATGGAAAGATATTCTGTTTCATGTATTGGTAGAATTAATATTGGCTAAATATTCATACTACCCTATGCAATCTACAGATTCAGTGCAATCCCTATCAAAATTCCAATAACATTTTTTACAGAAATAGTGAAAAACAATCCTAAAATTTCAATGAAGCCACCAAAGACTCTAAATAGCCAAAGCAATCTTGAGCAGAAAGAACAAGGCTGGGGCACCACACTACTTGATTTCCAAATCTACTATAAGGCTAAAGTAGCTAAACAACATCGTATTAGTACAAAGACCATTGGGACAGAATAGAACGTCCAGAAATAAAGCCATGCACTTACCATCAATAGATTTTTAAAAAGATGCCAAGAACACAGATGGGAAAAGGAAAGTCTCTTCAATAAATGATGCTTGGAAAACTGGATATCCACATGCAAAAGAATGAAATTAGACCCTCATCTCACACCATATTCAAAAATCAACTTGAAATAGATTAAAGACTTAAACACAGCGTTTGTACTGTAAAACTAGAAGAAAACAGAGGGGAACGCTTTTTGGCCTTGGCAATAATTTGTTGGCTATGACCCCAAAAACACAGGCAAGAAAAGCAAAAATAAACAAGTGGGATTACCTCTAATTAAAAAGCTTCAGCACAACAAAATAATCAACAGAGTAAAGACACAACCTTCAGAATGGAAGAAAGTATCTCCAAACTGTACACTGGATAAAGGTTTAATATCCAAAACATATAAGGAACTTAATTCAACAGAAAAAAAAACTAATAACCAATTCATAATTGGGTAAAAGATCTAAAAAGACACTTCTCAAAAGAAGACATATAAATGGCCATCAGGCATATGAAGAAAATACTCAATATCAATAATCATCAGGAAAATGCAAATTAAAACCACAACAAGAGATACCTTCGCACATATTCAAATGGTTAGTATCAAAAAGACAAAAGGTAACAAGTGTTGTCGACAATGAAGAGAAAAGGAAAACCTTGCACACTCTTGGTGGGAATGTAAATTAGTATAGCCATTATGGAAAAACCATATGGAGATTTCTCAAAAAACTAAAAATAGAACTACCATATGATCTAGCAATCCCACTACTGGGTATATATCCATAGGAAATGAAATCGGTATGCCAAAGAGTTATCTACACTCCCATGTTCACTGTAGCATTATTTAGAATAATCAAGATAAGGAATTAACTTAAGTGTCTATTGACAGATGAACAGATAAGGAAAATGTGGTATATAGACACAATGAAACTCTATTAAACATTTAAAAAGAAGGAAATCTGCCATTTATGACAACATGGATGAACCTGGAAGATACTACGCTAAGTGAAATAAGACGGGCACAAAAAGACAAATATACCACATGATTTCACTTGCATGTGGAATCTTTAAAAAGCTGAACTCATAGGAACAAATGGTAGAATGGTGGTTGCCAGGGGCTAGGGGTTGGGAAATGGGGATACACTGGTCAAAGAGTACAAAGTTTGACTTAAACAGGATGAATAAGTTCAAGAGATCTATTGTACAGCATGGTGACTATATCTAATAGTAATGTATTATATACTTGAAAATTGCTAAGAAGGTAGATCTTAAGTGTTTTCACCACAAAAAAATAAGTCTGTGAGGTGTGGATATATTCATTAGCTTGATTTAATCATTTCACAATGTATACATATATCAAAACATCACGTTGTACACCGTAAATATATACACAATTTTTGTCAATTATACCTTAATAAAGTTGGAGGAAAATTATGTTCTCAGCTATGTCAAGTCAGATTTGAAACCATTTACTTTAGGTATTGGCTCAGGTCAGTACAATTTTTCTGTCTTCTATATCTGTCATGTCAGTTGTTCGTAGACCTAGTTGAAAAATCAGAAAAACCCAGGGAGATTCTAATTACGTTAGTGTATTTGGGGAAATTCTGATAATTGGCCAGGTTTGGGAACCTCTTCCTAGTACTGCATTAAACTATTCTCAGACATAGCAACATCCACAACATGAAGAACGACAAAAAATATGTGACAAAGGATTTAGTTAATGAAAGTCATCTGAAAATGGTAAGGCACCTGGGTCAAAAAAGGGCAGGAACAGGAGGTGTTACCAGAGTCTGGTGGGTGGTAGGTATCGGGGAAATGTTGGTCAAAGGATATGAACATTTTTTGACAGAATGGAGTAAGTTCAACAGTTCCATTGTCCAACATGGTAACGGTAGTTAACGTTACGTGGTTGGGTGTGGTAGTTCACACCTGTAATCCCAGCACTTTGGGAGGCCAAGGCAGGCAGATCACTTGAGGTCAGGAGTTCAAGACCAGCCTGACCAACATGGTGAAACCCTGTCTCTACCAAAGAACACAAAAATTAGCCAGACATGGTGGTGCACGCCTGCAATCCCAACTACTTAGGAGGCTGAGGCAGGAGAATCGCCTGAACCCGGGAGGCAGAGGTTGCAGTGAGCCAAGATGGCACTACTGCATTCCAGCCTGGGTGACAGAGTAAGACTCTGTCTCCCCCCAAAAAAAAGAAAAAACAAAGTGTTGTATACTTGGTAAGTGCTAAGAGAGATTTTAAGTGTTCTCACCACAAAAAAATAATTATGAGGTAATACATACATTAATTAGCTTGAGTTAGCCATTCCACAATATATGCATATATCAAAACATTATGCTGTACATCATAAATACATACATCTTATTTGTTAATTTAAAAAATAAATCTTAAAAATTGGAAAGATGAACCAAATGTGGTATAACAGTAACATCTGGTTGATTTGGGGAAAGTAGGTGAGAATTCTTTGTATTATTCTTGCAACTTTTCTGTAAGTCTAAAATTGTTGAAGAGTTAAAACAAAAACAACATCGAAAAAGTCTCTTAAATGATCTTCCTGCTTCAATCTGTGCCTGCTACATTCTATTCTCAATTTTAAAAAAAATTCAGCAATCCTTTTAAAATCATAAATTAGATTATGTAACTCCTTTGCTAAAAATCATGGAATAATTCCCCATTTTATTCACAGTGAAAGTAAAATGTATACTGCTATTCCCTCTGATTGGTGTGCTCTTGCTCCAGATATCCACTTAGCTAACTTCCTCACTCCCTTCAAGTCTCTGTTCAAATATCACCTTCTCAATGAATCTACCCTAACCATTGCATTTAAGATTTCAACCCACGCTCTATCGCCACACTTCTGATCTCAACTCTAACCTAGTTTTTCCTTTCTCTTGACACTCACCACACTGTAACAACTATGACAGTTTTTAAAACCATCTGACTCCTTCAGCTACAATGTAAGCTCAGTAAAAGCACAGATTTTTCAGTATTCTGTTTACTGATATAGTATCTCAAATGCTTAGGGCTGTGCCTGGCCCACAGTAGCTATACAATAAATATCAGTCAAATGGATGAACAAGTTTTGCTGAACACCTGCTACAATCTAGAAAATGTCCAGAAGAACACAGAGTCAGGGACCTAGCTATACAAGCAATCGCCTATAATCCAAATGGGAAATGCAGTACAATTACACTTACGGAAAGATGATTGCAGTACAATTACACTTAGGGAAAGATGAATTCTAGATGAGGGATGAAGTCAGTAGGTTGACTCCCTTTTCAAAAATCTTGCCAGTGAGGGGAAGGCAAGTTGCAGAGTTATTTACATCCATGAATTCCTCACTGACTGTGTACTCATTAACAGAGTAACTGAAGTTCCTAGTATATGTAGGAAAACAATAGTTTCAATGTGAATAAAAATCTTCACTATGCAACTTATATTAGGGGATATTTAGACATCTACTCAATATTAGAATCTCTACCTCATCTTTAAAAGACAATCTTGGCTGGGCACAGTGGCTCACACCTGCAATCCCAGCACTTTGGGAGGCAGAGGCAGGTGGATCACGAGGTCAGGAGTTTGAGACCAGCCTCACCAACATGGTGAAACCCTGCCTCCTAAAAATACAAAAATTAGCCAGGCATAGTGGCACGCACCTGTAGTTCCAACTGCTTGGGAAGCTGAGGCAGGAGAATCGCTTGAACCTGGGAGGTGGAGGTTGCAGTGAGCCGAGATTGTGCTACTGCAGTCCAGCCTGGGCTACAGAGCAGGACTCTGTCAAAAAAAAAAAAGAGAAAGACAATCACTTTGTTTATAAGTCAATCTCTCCAATTTTTTTTTTTTTAAGATGGAGTGTCACTTTATTACTAGGCTGGAGTGCAGTAGCATGATCTTGGCTCACTGCAACCTCTGCCTCCAGGGTTCAAGCGATTCTCCTGCCTCAGACTCCTGAGTAGCTGGGACTACAGATGTGTGCCACCACGCCTGGTTAATTTTTTCTATTTTTTCAGTAGAGATGGGGTTTCACTGTGTTAACCAGGATGGTCTTGATCTCCTGACCTCGTGATCCGCCCACCTCGGCCTCCCAAAGTGCTGGGATTACAGGCATGAGCCACCACACAATTTTCTAATGTTTATAAATGTAGCACAAGGTGAATGCAAAGTAAAATTGCAAATCTCAGAAGAGATAAAGTTTCATGAAGTCTATGAAAATAATACAGCATCATGAGAAAATTACTTTCTAATTGAAAAGGTGGCCAAGGTAGTTAGACCAATAAGAATTGGAACATGAAAGATATTTAAAGGACAGTGAATAGAGTATTAATCATTGATTAATCTTTAGAAAATTTGATGATGCTTTCAACTTTTGCAAAAAATGACACTTCTGTTAATTTCATGGAGACAAATGTGAAATGAAGAATGTCATATTGTGCTATCATAGTTCTGTCGGAAAACCTATGTTAAAAAAATCAGTACTTGTTCACCACAAAAAAATACAAGATAACTATGTGAGGTGAAGGATATGTTGCCTAAGCTTGATTGTGGTAATCACGAAGTGTATATATATCAATGTATACATATATTTATTGTGTTCAAGCATACTCAACAATAAAAATATACACAATTTGTACGTATAAATTAAATGTCAATAAAGCTGGAGGAAAAAATAGTACTTAATTCACTCTTTTTTAAGATTTTTTTTTTTAGAGAAAGAGTCTTGGTCTGTCACTCAGGCTGGAGTGCAGTGATGCTACCATAGTTAACTGTAACCTCAAACTCCTGAGCTGAAGTGATCCTGCTACCTCAGCTTCCTGAGTAACTAGGACCACAGACATTGATTCATTCTTAATTCTAATAATTAGCTAAGGTTGTAGTTACATAGTAAATTTTTTTTTTTTGAGACAGAGTCTCCTTCTGTCACCCAGGGTAGAGTGCTGTGGCGCAATCTCAGCTCACTGCAACCTCTGCCTCCTGGGTTCAAGCGATTCTCCTGCCTCATCCTCCTGAGTAGCTGGGATTACTGGCATGTGCCACCATGCCTGGCTAATTTTTTTATTTTTTTAATTTTTGAGACGCAGTCTCACTCTGTCACCCAGGCTGGAGTACAGTGGCACAATCTCAGCTCACTGCAAGCTCCGCCTCCCAGGTTCACGCCCTTCTCCTGCCTCAGCCTCCCGAGTAGCTGGGACTACAGGTGCCCACCACCATGCCCAGCTAATTTTTTGTACTTTTAGTAGAGACGGGGTTTCACCGTGTTAGCCAGGATGGTCTCGATCTCCCGACCTCGTGATCCGCCCACCTCAGCCTCCCAAAGTGCTGGGATTACAGGAGTGAGTCACCTCACCAGGCCTAATTTTTGGATTTTTAATAGAGACAGGGTTTCACCATGTTGGCCTGGCTGATCTTGAACTCCTGACCTCAGATGATGCACCCCCTCTTGGCCTCCCAAAGTGCTAGGATTACAGGCGTGAACCACCATGCCTGGCCAAGTTATATAGTAAATTTGGCTGAAGACTTTAGGTTTCATTTCTCAACATAAAGAGCAAATCGAACTTCACTTCACCCTCTCTCTCATTCACCACCACTACCACCACCACCGCCATCATCATCCATCACCACTACCATCAACAATAATAATTTATTTTACAAGACTTCATCCTTGAACAGGTCGCTTTAGGTGGTCCCTTCTGAGCACCTTCTGTCCTCTTTGAGGGTGATGTATGTTTAATCAGAGTTATATTTTTAATAAATAAAACAGAAAATAATCTTCTGTCATTTATTCAGCTGAGGGGGAAAAAAGTGTAAACAATCTCTAGCAAAGGATGCAGTTTGTCAGTTGGACCACAAGATGGAGGCACCAGTCACCTAAAAGGAAATAAAAATAAAAGCAAAAAACAGCCTTTTAAGTGTAAAAATAACAAACCTAATTTTTAAAAAAATCAGGTACATTTCCAATTCATTTTATAAGAATGGAAATTTATTCAAACAATCAAACAGTGAAGTCTGACATATAGTTCTGAAGATACTATCTCTACCAAACCCGATTCAACTGAAAAATCTCAAAAACAACCTCGTCAACTCACTTTTATAACTCTTGCAGAGTAACTCACACAGAGTCTTCAAACAGCAACAGAAAGGAACTGCTGGACTGAGTAGTACTTTGAAAAGTGGGGAAAAATGAAAAGTAATAGCTTCATGTGATTTACACTGATGCAGATAAACTGGGTTTTACACGAAAAGAATGCAAATTGAGTTTCATGGCTATCTGATATTAACCAATCAACACTAGACACACTATTTTCCCTCATTTATTATATTCTTCAACAAATACAGTGAATCATAACAAATGCTAGGAATAGTGCCTATACACAGTATTTAAGAAATACTAATTCTCATTATTGTTATAATTGACACTACTATTCTTAATATAAAGGAATTATAAAACCCTCAAAACAAAAGGAGACAAGTAACCCTTTTTCTCTTACATGAAATATTTTCAACCTCACTTAGAAACATAACCTAGCTTAGTCACTCATCAATTATTAGTTCCATTTCTGTTAAAACGCTTCATATTTCTATGGCAGGGAAAACTAGAATTCAAGATTAAGGTTGCTTAACTTGGTAAGCATAAAGCATAAAGAACTGACAGGTACGACTGTGAACACATTTCATCTTCCTGTTTTTCTCTGTTTGAAAGTGTGACACAGATGTGGTACTATTTGTGTAAGTTAGGGAAAAGGGGTTTTTTTCCCCTTCAACAAAATACAATTAAGTGTTTAAGTGCATGAACACATATACACACGAACTAAGGGAATTCAGGAAGTGTTTGAAATAGTCTCAGAAGAAAACATAAGACATGAAATTTCAAAATGAAGATCAGAAAATTAAAAATGTAACCTTCAAACAACCCTGAGACAACAACTTGTATAAAAACTTTTAAATTATTATTTTATATTCAACAAAGTATTTTAAAGTAAGTTCAACTTTTTATAGATATCACTAAACCGAAGGCACGTTTTTGCTAAAATCAAAACATTTTAGGATATTCTATCAATCTGATGAAGCCCATGGTGATGATTACATCATGTGACCTCTGGATCTCTGATAACTAAAGAAAGTATGTTACTTACTATTGAAAAAAATTAAATGTTTGATTTTTAATTTTTTTTTATCAATTCTTCAAAATATAATTGTCATACTGATTAGGAATGATCTATATTATCATTTAAAAATCTTTTTCTTAAAAGTTAGTTTATAAAACAGTAGTGCAGGGCTTATTTGGAAGAAAAAATACATCCATTTATTTCAGAGAAATGATTATGCCTTCAAATCAATTCCAGAAAAATTTAACAGTGAATCTATAATTTTTTAAATTATTCACTGCCATCTACTGGAAAAATCTGAAATGTCTTCATAATTTTCCAAATGTTAAAGAGAAAATATCACATTGAAAAGAGCAATATATGATGATCTTCCAATAGCTACTAAAATCAGAGACTTTACTTGTAATTCTGACCATTTCATTTCTTTTGATCCTTAATAACTACTTAATTGCATACTAATTCATTATAATTTTTAGCATATTTAAATCCTAAATATAAATATGTTGAGGTGAGATAATTTAAAACAATGCAGGACTACAATTACATGTAACAGTGGATAACATAGGTTTTGATATACTTATCCTAAAAGGAAAAAATAAGACTGGGTGTCTCAAGTTTGAGGCTGGCAATGAAACTATATTTACTGACTAAACCAAGTCCAAACCTGAACCACATTAGAGGTGTTATGACACTATGAAAAGATACTCTTATTTCTAATGACAATATTTCAGTCCCTAAAGAATAATTTGGCCAATTTATCATAATAAAAAGAAAAGTATTATCTTAAGCATCTGTCTTAAGATTTTGTAAAACTAGTTAACAGAAAAACCATTTTCTGTGGTTTTCTTATATTTTGTTTTGTTTTTGTTTTTATGCCTCTAGGTCCATAAACATCTCAATTCATTGAATAGCTGCTTTTTCAGCATCTACTTTATATCCAGGCACACGCATATAAAGTACATTTAAGTATTCAGAAACGTAACAATCACTTCATATTTAAAATGAGGATAATAATCCCTGGTTACATGGTTGGTATAAAAATGTGAAATAATCAGAGTTAGCACCCAACAAATAATAGCCATCATTACTTTAAGTATTACTAAAAAGATTGGAAGCTTATAAGAAGCTGAGAACAAAATGAATGAAAAAATTGTGTTTTCAATTTGTTACAAATTAAATATTAAAACTTCAGATTAAAATAGCCCACAAATCATGTTTACTTCCTTTATCTCCCAAAACCCAACTGAATTTATTAAAGAATATATGAGAGGAGATACAGCTATGCTAGAAAACAAAGGTACCATTAAAAGGTCAGAAACTAAGGCCAAAAGGTCTGAAATACATAAAACAGATGTTTTGCTTAGATAAGTAGTCAATAACTATCTGTCACATGAGAAAATTAACAAATGACATAGGATGAGATGAAAAGCAAACTTAGCAGTGCTGACTGGCCTGTGAAGCAGCACAACTGAACAGGCCTGCCGAGAAAGAATCAATATAGTTTTCCAAAAATAGGTCCTGAGAAAACCCCAAAATTAGAGGAGCAAGGCTAAGAGCAAGTGGCAAACGTTAACAGTCAAGCCCCAAAAAATTCAA